AATTAAAAGATCTGATATCACATTTTTCCTGATTTATTTAAACACTTTGTATTCCAAGTTGAATAAAACAAGTATCTGCTTTTTGATTTAATCCTCCTATTTAATTTTGAGGTAGACTGTCTTAAGAAAATATTAAACCCAACAATTCTGGCCACAAGACAAACACCACAAGACAGGACAAAGAACACAAAAATAATTCCTATTGTGCCAGTAAATGCATGGTACATTGAATGCTGTTCAGCTGGCATCCGTTTTCTCTGATGATCTGAAAGACAAAAGACCAGAGGTCTACCCCTTCTGGGTAGTCAAGTCATTGCTTAAAATATTTCCTTTATATACACATACTCTTGTTGATTTTAGGCAAAACAGAGGAATTACCCCATATTTCCTTGTATTTGTTTCATAGGCAGCCCAGGTTTCAGTGGCTTCTATCTTATTAGTTAGAAAATTGCATTAATACAGATGCTTTCTGGCTTGCTTCCAGATCCAAAGCTATCCACAGCTTAAAGATTCTTACTTAAAAAGGGACACCATTAACTTTCCCAGTCTTTTGATTGCCTTTTACTTCTAACTCCTGCTTTCAAACACACAGTGATCTGAAAGAGACAACACAACCTATATTGGTAGGTTTGCATTTCTTTTACCTCTGCTACAATATACACTGCACATGTTCTGCGGAAAATGCACATCCTCTCCACAATTCAATTTCCACAACACTAGCCACATCAATTTCTACACAAGGTGTAACTATTTCTTTTTTGAACACCGGGTAAAGGCCATTTACTTAACATATAATTCAAAGGGCTATCCTTAGAGGGTTTTACCAGAGACCCACCCATCTGCCTGCTGACACTCTAACAGAGAATTACACAGAGAACAGAGAGAATTATGGCCTAATAGGATCCTATTACAGGAATTTCTACTAATACTGACCACTACAGGGGACGGGACAGAAGGATCCCAATTCGACCTCAGAGCTTCATCGCACGCGATGGCTTCCACTCTGAGCAATTAGGAATGAGAGGCTCAGTTCCGTTCACACACCTAACGCCCAATGTATAAGACAGAAATTCATTAACCGGTTAACCAAAACCAAAACCAAACCAAACCAGAACCAGATAGTGTCTCCTTATCCTATTAGGACTCACCTTATCGGAGCACGAACCCCAGGGGCTGCGGTGAAGCAGAGAAAAGGGGCAAAACACCCCGTTGGCGCCGTTCCCAATTCGCCACAGCCATCCGGAGTCCAATGCCCGAGCTAGGAGAGTCCCGGCGGAGTC